AAAAAAAAAAAAAAAAAGCAACACACAAATTAAGGTACTCTATGGAATTACATCATTTGACTTTTTTTTGAAATGAAAAGTCTCATATATTCATTACTGACCCCAGCCAAACAATGGGTTCATAACAGATTCAGAGAGAAAAAATATATTCCCAATAAAACATGTCCAACTCTCCAGATGGTGGTGACATTTTCGGCTTGATATGGTAACGTGATTGAGACACTCAGACAGCATAAATATGAGTGCCATCTCATATGCAATTCCTTATAGACCTAGCTTGGTTCTTCTCCAGAGTCTCCTTTTAAAGTTGTACCTGTTTTCTTACCAGTTTTGATCTGAATCCACTGGGGCATAGAACGATTTTGCTTTTGTTTCCTGGTCAGGAATCGCTTATTCCTGAAAGTCTTACAAGAAGATCTGGTGAGGAGCAGAGTCAAGTACACACCACGAGAGGAGAGAGGAACAGAAGGGGCTTGATATCTTTTTTTTTTTTTTTCTTTTTGAGACAAAATTTCGCTCTTGTTGCCCAGGCTGGAGTGCAATGGTGCCATCTCAGCTCACTGCAACTTCCGCCACCCGGGTTCCAGCGATTCTCCAGCCTCAGCCTGCTGAGTAACTGGGATTACTGGCACCTGCCACCATACCCAGTTAATTTTTGTATTTTTAGTAGAGACGGGGTTTCACCATTTTAACCAGCCTGTTCTTGAACTCCTGAATACTATTTCTGCTGTCACCTGTCAGTCCTCTTCATTGCGGCACACACAAGCTTAATTTTTTTTTTTTTTAAACTGATGTGGGCCAGATATGGTGGCTCATGCCTGTAATCCCAGCACTTTGGGAGGCCGAGGTGGGTGGATCACAAGGTCAGGAGTTCAAGATCAATCTGGCCAATATGGTGAAACCCCATCTCTACTAAAAACACAAAAATTAGCCGTGTGTGGTGGCATGCCCCTGTACTCCCAACCCACTAGGGAAGTAGAGACAGGAGAATCACTTCAATCCAGGAAGCAGAGGTTGCAGTGAGCCGAGAGCACACCACTGCACCCCAGCCTGGTCAACAGATCAAGACACTGTCTCAAAACAAACAAAGAAACAAAAGAAAACAAAAAACTGATGTGGATGGTGTGCCTGCTGCTCCTTGCATCACCTTCAACACTGTCTTGTCCCGATTCAAATGAGTTATCCATTTACAAACTGTTTATTTCTTTTGGGCATCATCTCCATAACCTTTTCATAAAGCATCAATGATTATATTATTCCTCTTCCCAAACTTTCCCATAATGATTCTTTTATTGAGACAGTATCTTGCTCCGTCACCCATGCTGGAGTGCAGTGGCATGACCACAGCTCCCTGCAGCCTCAACCTCCCAGGCTGAAGCCATCCTCCCACCGCAGACTCCACAGTAGCTGGCCCTGCAGTCATATGCCACCATGACCAGCTAATTTTTGTATTTTTTCTAGACAAGGTGGTTTCACCATGTTGCCCAGGCTGGTCTTATATACCTGGGCTCACGTGACCCACCTGTCTTGGCCTCTGAAAGTGCTGGGATTAACCGCCTGAGACACTGCATCTGATCTCATCATAAATTTGATGTTTCTTCTTGTTTCAATTTTAGCAGAATTTATATTGCTTTGATAGAATCTCTTTTCAAACTCATATCTTATCCTTCTGAGTGCCTTAAACTAGAACCTGTTCAGACATGTTAAAACAGATTTGTACCAGTTTATTTTGGTGCAAAAACTGTGAAATTCATGCACAATTTTCTCAAAATACTTATTTTTCCATGAATTTCTCCAAGATTGCTTGCACTAGAAAACTGTATTCAAGAGGACTTTAAAAAAAATGTAGATATTCACGTGACACTTATTTCTGGGATGCAAGGATGGTTGAACATATTCAAGCAAATCAATGTGATATGCCACTTGAACAGAAAGAAAGATGAAAACCACATCATCTTAATAGATGGAGAAAAAGCATTTCAGAAAATTCAAAATCCAGTCATCATAGAAATCCTAAACAAAATAGATAGAAAAGGAAATGTACCTCAACAATAGAAAGACCATCTATGAAATGACCAATGAGTAAATAGTCAAGCAGGGAAAATGGAATGCTTTTCCTGTAGGATCTCACATGATGCAAGAATGCTCTCACCCCTTCTATTCAATCAATACTGGCTGTCCTAGCCAGAGCAGTGAAATAGCAGA